AAAAACGAAAGTATTCTTCATTTAACAAAAAAAGTTACGGGCGTTAGAGAAATGGACCAAATCCAAACGTTTTTGTAAACCATGATGATCATCTTATAATTTCGAAATCATGTAAACGAAAAGTGTAATTTTTGATAAATTCCACAAGAACCAAATTTGTAGTTTACTCAAAAATATAATACAACATTTTATTTAAAAAATGTTGTAAAAAATTTGTTTGGACACAAAACATGTTTCCTATCAACTTCTTGTACATTTTTATGCACAATTGTTTGTTTTATAAATTTAAATCCTATAAAAATGACACTTAAATATATTTGACGTCATATATAACCTATTTTAATGTAAAAGATTGGTTTCGATGAAAATAAAAATTATGGTAAAAAGAGTAAGACGGAGATATCTCCACCTTTGGATCATTTCTAATTAAAAAAAACACTAATTAAATTTTCTTATTTAAAATAGATAAAACTAACTAAACACTTTATCTAAAAGAAAATTGAAACCGTAAATATTTTCATAGTTATAAATGATGAAGGAAAATATAAAGTATTGATAGATGAATAATACAAATTGGAGACATGATGTTGACACAAATTAATACTTTAATATTTTCATTATCAACTTTGACTAACTTAAACCCATATTTCTTTTTCTTTTTAACCAAATCTTTTTTCAACTAAACACCCCATTTTCCTCCTCAAAAGCTATTCAATACGTGTATTGATATATATACAACCAACTCATAAACATGTCATATATATATATATATATATATATATATAAATGTTGAGTCCTACTAATACACCATAAATTATCTCACTTTCTAATAAATGAAAATTGTCTCTAAAATATCAAATTAGACGAAATACAGATATATCTCACTACATTATTATTTTCTATCAGTTAGTGGTGACTTAGGCAACTCATTTACGTTAAACAGTGAAGTTCCGTATATATTAATTAATAAGAATATGTATGATTAAGGTTAACGATAAGTTAAGAATGAAGGTGAAAGTCAAATTATGAATGATTAATTTTATAAATGATTTTTAATCATTCACGCATAACCCGACATTATGGTTATATTTAAGTTACAAAAATGGTCGTAATCGGGAACAAGTTAGGCTTTGGAGACGGCGGGTGGGCGGCCGTGACATTAGCATTCCTTCACATTTCTTTTTTATTTATTAATTTCCTTTTCTTTTTGTAAAGGTATCTTGTGATGCAGAATACCAACAAATTAAAAAACAACTATGTATTTTAAAATCATGTTTGGTTCACAAAATTTGGAATTGAATTTTATTCCAATCTCATGTTTGGTTTAAAAAATTTAATCAAAATCCTACAAATACAAGATTTTGAAATCCGACGGAAGGGATTAATATTTCATGAGATTTCGTAAGATTTATATTTAATAATATGTTAATAACATTTATTTTATAATTACTCCTTCTGTTCTAAAATAAATATACGTAGTAAAACATAAGAAAAAACTTTGATGAATACAAAACAAGGTTTGTGTTGGTTTTGATATGTGTCTATCATGTTTAAATCAATATATTATCTTATAAATTCAAATTTAGAAGATGAATTGAAAATATTATAACAATGAACGGTAATTTATGGGAAGAATGCCCAAAAGTTGGGAGAGGTAGAAGAAATTAAGGAAGGGTAAAATGGAGAATACACAAAGGTTTTATTTAGAGCTTTAAATCATTATTTTTTTAAATTACTTTAAAAATAATTGAAGGACCAAACAGACCTACATGGATACCCTTCCACTAACTGCTGCCACAGCAGACAAGTAGGTCCCACGTGGATTGACATTGCTACTCTACGTCACTCCTCTCTCCACGTCATCGTCTTCCCATTTTTTTTTAATTTTGTGCTGGGGAAAAATGCATTCAATCGCCATCCATATTGGTTCGATTGGAATATTGTGTTTTAAGGGCCTCGTTTCAATGGAAATTAAAGTTATGATGATAAAAGTAATAATCCCTCTTTATCTTTACATCAATTATAATTGAAGATCAATAATAATACGATGCATTATATTAATTTTCATGATAAAGATAATTTATGGACGAACATGATATTAAAAGTAATCAATGGTCCATATTTATTGTTTTGCTTTTCACCTTAACTTTTATTTTCTTATATGATCATTTGTCTATTGTTTAAAAGCTAATCATTTGCTCCTCCAACCATTTTTTTTACTTTTTTACTTTATATATTTATAATAAAGAAATCGTTATTTTTTCTTGATCAACATTTTGTTTTGATCGCATGTCTTAGTTGATGAGACGAGTATCAAATCATATAATTTGAATCTGCAATACTTGATAAGTGAATACATTCCCAACTTATTGAAATCGGAGTTTTGAATTGTCATATATCAAATTTCGAATATTGTATTAGGGCCGTTTATCAAACGTTTATCCAGGTAAGCGTTTACCAAGTTACATTACCTTACTGGATGAATATGGTAAGGACCAAGAATTTTATTCAGTAAGAGCGAAAACAAGGCCAAGAGTCTTACCCGGTAAGTGATGGCAACAACTCTTACCACGGTTATCATTTACCGGGTAATTTGTTGCATATGATACCGTTTTTGTGGATTAAAATCTTGCAGGATAATGTTGAATTTTGTTTATAATCACTTATTCGAGTAAGCGTTTGGTAAACACCAACGAAACCAATGATGTTATTACCTCTTCACAGTCGTTGCCGTACTCACTACTACAACTTCTCTATCACACTTTCTAATCCGAAGAAATTTGAAGCTTCTTCATACAAGATATTGGGTTGATGCATGATTGAACAAACACAACCCTTGGTTCTCATATTTCAAAGGACTACTCATTTAGTCCTTACCCATTGCATGCATTATTTTAGAAGTGTTGTATAACTGTTTATGTATCTTTATGACATAACAAGAAACACATATGAATACACAACAAAAAAAAAAAAAAAAACTAACTTCGACAAAAAAAATTTTATGGCAAACTGCATGAAAAAGTAACGTACTTTAACTTGATTCCTATTTTAGGTAACGTACTTTCAGAACTTTCATTTTAGTACCTAAGATGTAAAATTTAAAATATTTAAGTAACCAGTTTCCATACTGAAGTGGCGATTGATGTGGTATCCAACTCAGTATTGTTTGCTATTCAAGCCAATTTCATCTCACCACTGGCCACATTAGCATGGTAACCGGTTTAAGGCTTCAACCGGTTACCCGGCACGTTAAATGTGTAAAAGTTTACATATTAGGTACCAAAATGAAAGTTTTGAAGGTATGTGACCTAAAATAAAAATCAAATTAAAATACGTTATTTTTTCATGTAATTTACCTAAAAAATTACTCAAACTTTGAAGTATTTTTTATGTTCATTTTCTTTAACATCACCATAAAGTCCAAATGGGAGGGGATGCCCATATCTTATTGTATGGTCAAAAGAAGTGGCAATTAATTACCTTAGATGAGGTCCAACAATGTTATCTTAGATACCATTCAACTTATTAATCAAAACATTAGAGTGCTTGGTTGAATTGTTTTTAGCCTCTTAACCCTCAAAACAACAAGGGGAACATGCCAAATAATAATGAATTTTGACTTCTTTTCCATCTTTTAATCTACACATCAATTATTTGTGATTTTATTATAAATTATCACATAACTATAGACTTTATGTATATTTTTTAATTTCCATAATGAATAGTTATAATTACTATCACATATTTCAAAATTGGAACTTATGTAACATACATATATGCATACATTCCAATAAAATTTAATCATTTTCAACATTAAAATACGTATTTTTATTTGATTTATGCGTTTAATTGAACTATTATAACAATAGAGAATACCCATTAAACTTGGGGTTCAAACTCAATACGGTAACAACTAGCTATAAATTTTGGGTTACCCCTATGTATTGCTAAATACGTCTATACCTACTAATTTTCTGCTCCTATATATCAACATCAAGATTTTTTTTACCTTCACAATGCATGAATCAACCTATGTAAGACGCCACATTGGTTAGGGAGGGAACTAAAGTTGTACTATAAGGATTCGATACGCGCTTTAAAACTATGAGTTCAGGTGTGAACAAAAAGGACAATATCTGGTACGGTATGTATGAGATGTTATAAATGATATTAAAGTCAGGAGCTGGACTAGTGTGCCAACGAGGATGCTAATCTCCCAAAGGTGGGGGGGAGGGGGGATTCTAAGACCTCACATTGATTGGGGAAGGAAACAAAAGTTGTCTTATGAGAGTCTCTTTAGTAGTTGTTGAATGATTTGATGCATAAAGATTAAGTGATCAGAATAATTAAAAGAGTCTTATGATATAGTGCAAAATGATATATAATTGTTTAAAATGAAATTAGAGCGCTAAATGGTTAAATGAGAACCAAGATACAAAATGATTCAGAAAGTTGTGTGTCACTGAAACTATTAAAAGGTAAACAAAGAGATGTTTGATAACAATTCTATCATATGTAAGTAGGACTGGAGAAGTCTTGTTTTACACTAGACTTCTTAACGGTTTTAAAACTATGAGTTCAGATACGAACAATATTACAACGTTACTCTACTCTAACATAAAAGGTTTGTATACCAAAAAGATATTTTTGCCTACATATGAACACAATTCTTGGGTAAGAGTTGTACGTACAAGCAGACAAAGCGTGCAAAGGAGGAGGACGACGGACGGGGGGATCTAGTCAACCGTGTTTGACCACGTTTTTCTGTTTAAACTTCTTCTTACAATCAGATAAGGACAAATAGTGGAAGGGTAATTATGTAATTAACTCGAGATTTTCTGGGTTATAATCTATTTTAATCGTCAAATCTTTAATTAAATGTTCGGCGGCGTCGTTTTTGTTGTTGTGGTTCGTCTTCCCCTTCCCCCTCCCCCTCCCCCCTTGCCCCCTCTTTAATTCGATAAGGTCTCTCTCTCTCTCTCTCTCTCTCTCTCTCTCTCTCTCTATATATATATATATAAGGCCTCAGTTTTTTCCTAACACCGGAAAATCACAAATCTATACATACATAGTCCTGTATCTATACGTGTGTATATATATATCTACCCACCTATATATACACATAAACACACATCTGTGCTTTTAAAGAGAAGAGAGAAAGAAAGAAAGAAAGAAAGAAGGGAATGAGAACAAGGGGAGGAATTTCTTATCCGACGGTGAATAATATTTGTGAAAAGAGAAGAAGAGATGCTAATTTTGTCGGCCAGAAAATGATACACACTCGGAAAAGGTCGAAATCGTTATCAGGGACACCGGTGGCGACGGTTTCCGGCCGCCAGTGTGATTTCCTTGATACGCTTCCAGACGACATCGTTTTGTTCATTCTCGCCAAAGTTGGCTCCACCGCCACTTGTCCGGCCGATTTTATCAGCGTTTTGTCAACGTAAGATTCCGGTTGCCTCCACCGCCGCTTCTCCAGCCGGTTGTTTTCCCATAAAATTGTTAATTTTGTAACTGATTTTTTTGTGTTTGTTTCGAACAGATGCAAAAGATTAAACGAATTAGGAGTTCACTCTCTTGTGTTATCAAAAGCATCTCCGAAAGCGTTTGCCGTTAAATCTAAAAACTGGTCGGAATCTTCTCATCGGTTTCTGAAACAGTGCTCTGATGCCGGAAATGTTGAAGCTTGTTACACGCTCGGCATGGTTAGTTTAATTTTCATGGTTTTCTTTAATGTATTGATCGACATTCTGTTTAAAGTATTAAATTAAACTGTTATCAATTTTATTTTGTTGACACAGATTCGTTTCTACTGTTTGCAAAATCGAGGAAGTGGAGCATCTCTAATGGCGAAGGCCGCGATTAATTCTCACGCTCCGGCGTTATATTCGCTGGCTGTGATTCAGTTCAACGGAAGTGGAGGTTCAAAAAACGACAAAGACCTACGCGCCGGCGTAGCTCTATGTGCCCGTGCAGCGTTTCTCGGCCACATCGACGCACTCCGGGAACTCGGACATTGTCTCCAAGACGGTTACGGTGTTCGTCAGAACATTCCTGAAGGCCGGCGGTTTTTGGTTCAAGCCAACGCGCGTGAGCTCGCCACCGTTCTGTCAACAACTCCGTCGGCGTTGATCTCCGGTAACTGGCTGACATGGAACCCCTTACCTCACCTCCGCCATGGAAACGTAGTCGGTCCCGGTTGTCCGTTACTCTCCGATTTCGGATGTAACGTACCGGCGCCGGAGCCTCATCCGTCGAACGTTTTCCTAACGGATTGGTTTTCCGATAAGGTGCTTAGTCCTGGTCTCCGGCTATGTTCTCATGCCGGTTGTGGTCGGCCAGAGACGAGAAGACATGAATTCCGGCGATGTTCAGTTTGCGGAGCTGTGAACTACTGTTCACGCGCGTGTCAAGCACTCGACTGGAAGATGCGCCATAAGATGGAGTGTACACAAGCTGAGAGGTGGGTCGATGAAGGCGACGGTGAAGATAACGGCAATGGTAACGAAGATGACGGAATGGTTGTCGATAGTTGAATCGTTGGTCGGAGACACCGAACTTAACGGAAGGGTAACGGTGTCTATAAACGGCACTTGAAGCAAAGTTTTGTTGGGGGTAGTATGGGAAATTACAAATATGCTTTCCTTTGACGTTCGCCGGAATCTCGACGTTAGTAAGAAAAGTTATTTTCTCTTTTTTTTTCTGAGGGTAGCAATTTTTGTACAATATATTTCAATATAGCTGCCTTTTTTTAATTAAAAAGGAAAATTATTTTAAATTCTAGTAAATTACAAGGAAAATCTTAATTTAATATCCATTTTTCTTCATGCTATTTATATCTGCTCAATTAAATGTTTACTTAAGTTTTAAGACATATATAATATATATATATATATAAATGCGTATGTTTAGATACTCTATGAATTAGTATTAATTATATATTTTTAGCTTTTTCATAATCAGATTATTAATTATTTTAATTATCTTATCAATTAATTTTAAAATACAATAGGAATTGATGTTTGTTAATAAATTTTGGTAATCCAACGTTCATTCATCAATAAAACAACATATTGGTTGTTTAGTTTTTAATAATATAGTGTTGTTTCACCAGGTGATTTTAATTAAAAAAACATGATTTTTTTTAAAACGGTTAATAAAATAATTATTAGAACTAACAAGATAATTATAGTTCAAAATGTATGATCATTATCGGTTCATAGATTTTTTAATTTATAAACGGCTTTCTATTTATTTTTTCTTTTTTCTCTCTCTTTATAGATAGACGAAGGATCGTGTGAGAATAGAAGTTAATGTGAGAAATGTAAGAAAAGATTTGAAAATTTGATCACTTTTAATTTCAAACTCATCTATGAATTTGCGTTTTACAAAGGATTTGATCCAATGCATATCGATGCACCTCATGGATATTGATGTTCAATTATGATCTATTCAAGAGTGAAGATATATTTTTATGCTTCTTATCATAACTTCATTTATCATCGAAACTTAACCTTATATATATATTAGAAAAGAAATGAATATAAAACCTTTTCCTTTTTCGTTTAAAACATTAGTTTGAAGTTTTAGTAAAATCCCCAACTTTATAAGTATCTTTCTTGGATTTGATTCTAGAAGGGTCTCAATCGGCCATCCCTGCATTAGTTGTTGTACCTTATTCGTAAAGATATGTACCACGATTAATTCGAATGGATATTTATGCCTCCCGATGTCACCACCGAATAATAAATCAATGTGGGTCGTGGTTAGTTTCTCTTCTCTCGTTAGATAGAGGTTGGTCGTTGTAAAAGATGTTCTTTAATATTGTCCTTTTGATGCTACGAATTTTCGGTCGATGTTTTGTTATTTTCCATTACAGATAAGTTTGCATCTTATAATGGAGTCGAGTTGACTTGATGAGTTCATTGTCTTTTTCGGATTTCAATTACATTTTGAGCAAATTTATACCCAACATAAAACCATCTTTAAACTCATTATGATTATTAATAACACTATTATTTTTTGTAGAAAAATCTGCGATTGTGTACATCTTTTCTCTGTATAATCATATTTCCTTTTAATTTCATAAAAAATAACAAGATTGACATTAAGCTTTAAACAAATTAGTGTCATTTTTTTTAAAAAAATTAACTAAATAATTAATGATGTCCGTTTTAATCGGTATGAGATCAAGTCATGTTGATCCAACTAGGTATAAATTTTAGGTTGTGGATTTTTATTTACTTGTTTTTTTTTTGTGATTGTAATTTGACTATTTTATACTGATTTTTATATTGCATTTTTTCCCCGTTTAGTAAAAAAGGTATCCTTATGGTTTTGAGGTGATATATATTTTTGAAAAAACCATTATAAATTCTGAATGCATGAATTTTCATGAAAAATCATTCCGTAAAAGAAAAGTAAACTCATATAATGGAGCGTTTATTTTCGTTCAACACAACATGATTTAGGCATTTTGAAATTTTCATACCGTGCACAATATACTTATTTGACTTTGAAATCCATTCAAATTGGACCAAAATTGGAAAATTGGTATTTATATCATTTTTGTGGTTTATTATACTCAAATATAATAATAGGGTTGGGTTCATGTGATATCAGTTTGTTTTCATGAGACAACATTTTTACACTTGAAACTTCACAATAAAATGTTGTGAAGGTAAAAAAAAATCCATACTTTCACAGCAAAAACGCTGTAAATGTTACTTTCACAGTGTTTTACTGTGAAATTTCAAGTGTTCAAAATATTGTCTCATATGATCTCAAGTCTACAATAACAAGTAGAACTTAAACCCAATGAGGAAACATGTTAAATGCAAAAACATTTAGAGTTTATAGAACTCAAAACAGCTTAATAAATAAGTGGACAACATCCGGGTGCAAGACTCCTTTTATTTATCCTTTTTGCTTTTATATGTGTATGAAAGGCAAAGGAGTGGTTATGGCAGAAAAAGGGATCCTAGGTCATTTATTTATGATTACCACCATCCCACCACCTCATTCTATTCTATCATACACACCCCTTTTTTTCTTAGCCTTTTCTTTAAGTTGTTCATAAAAGCCACCATTAAGGGTTTTTACCAATGCATCAAACATCAACACACCACCACCACCATTTCCCATTCTTCAACCTACAATCTTATATAAAAAAGGGCTTGTAACATATAGCTTTTTAGCTCCATACAGTACTGTTTCAAGACTAGCATCATGCGTGATGGAAATTAGGTATATACATTGACATTCTGTACCATTATATAGTCAACTTTACAGGAATTATAACTCATATTTTATGGTTGTGGGACTCGACTTCTCGTCTATTTGTACATATGTATATCACCTCTGTACCAATTGTTTATGACCTTACCCATACCAGTCAAAAGTTTTCAACAACTGAGTTGGTAGTTGGAGTAAAACCAAGTTACATGGAATTCAAAGTTGCAACACAACTTCTAAGAGAATCTTTTCAATATATTCTTTTGTAGATTTAAAAAAAATATTAAAATTCAAGAAAATAGTAAAATGAAAAAGGAAAGCAAGGTAATGGTGGGATATTGATGTGCAATTCCTTCTTTATTTACTTTATTCATATGGGTTCTTTTTTCAAAATTGAATTGTTTACTTTATTCATATTTTTTAATTCTAAATTTAAATTTGTTAGTGGAGGGGAATTTTGTTGTTGCCATAGTTGTATGTTCTTTATGCCCCCATTAACCAATTTCTTTTTTGAAATTAAAAACAATGGTGGATTAATCCCACATCCAAAATCCATCCATCCATCCATTCATCCATCGCTGAAAAATATCTCCTTTCCTTTTTCTAAAGGCACAAATTTTAAGTATTTTATTCATCTATATAGATACTCTTTTCTTAATTTACTCAGATAATAATAAACACTGATAAGTTACCGTTTTTAGAAATATGCGTCGTAACATGTCCTATTATATTGTTTATTAATTTCGAAAAAATAATATAAACATGGAGCTAGAAAAGGAACTTAATAGGTGATCAAAATGGTCCAACACCAATACATTTAAAGCCAAATTAATTCTTGTGTTTGAGCATATGGGTTTGCATCCACTATAGTTGAAAATATATGGCACCACCAAGCATAGTGCAATTTATGTGATTCCACTCTTATCACCGAACAATTATTACATATCTCGGGTCTTTTTAAGTTTTTATATTTTTTAGGAAATGTCATATCATTGTAATTATTTTTTTTTTTATAAAAGTGTATGTTTATTAAGATTAATCAGATTTTATTGTTTACGGTGATATGACGTACCAACATGAATTGAGAAATTGTTCAAGATATTAGTTTAGGAATTTTGCACAGTTTTCAAAAATGGGTGTTTGACTGCTTTTTTAAAATTGATAATTTCAAACTTTATATTTATGATTATATCAGTTTACGGTCAAAGAATGTGTTGATACTTTGAAGTGCAAAACGAATTTTCAACAAAAAATTTAAGATGTTAAACACACTTGATCTTGATGTAACATGTAGCCTAGAGCATTTAATGGTTTTTTTTTTCTAAATGAGAAAGTTTGGATATAAATGATAAAATAATTAAGCTAATATATATATATATATATATATATATATATTAAAAATTGTTCTATAACTGTAACCCTCAAGTTCTGACCTAAATAATATAGCATAGTCAAAGGAGGGGCTAAAGGGATTAAATGTCGCCAACTAGAACAAGAGGACTTATGAAACGACATGTTTAATGACGATCATTATATGATATGTATGTTTCAATATTTCAAATGAGATATGTATGTTATGTGTTTTATTTGATTTTTACTTTGAATATGCAACATATGGTTCCAACGTTATGCATGAATTTGGTTTCCATTATGTTATATTGTATGCATAATTACTTGTGAAACAACGTTTTCAATATGTGTTAGTTGTTTAAATCCATGTGAACAAATAATTCAAGAATCTGCTATGCTTAATTGATTTAAATTATGTTCATATCTGTATTAATATTAGAAGAATCAGAGGTTGTCTAAACCTTTAGATATTATCTGATTGAATTGGTTATAAGATATTTTCGTTACATATTGTTAAAAGATCGATAATTTCGATCATAATTTACAACTTAAATATAAAGACATTCTCGTATCATCCAATTATATATGGCATGAATTCATACCTAATATCAATATTATATAAAGATAATGCATGTAGGTAGTTCAAATTTAGGCCATATGAAAAAAATGTAGATGTAAAGACATCCCACACCTCAAGCTATTTCCCACATGTTTATAATGAAGTAGAGCCTAAGCTTAGGTTAGTTATTTGTCACTCCATCTTAACTTTTTCAATTTAGTTACAAATAATTAAGAGTAAGCTACAAATTTAATCCCCGTCGTTTGTCAAAAATAACATTATTCGTCTCTTCAGTTTCGAAATTACAAGATGACTATCACGATTAGAAAAACTGTCTGGATTTGATACATTTCTTTCCTGTTCAACGAAGGGAATTTTTATCATTTGATCGACCTTTTTTTTGGTCTTATAACCAATCAAAAACCAAAATCATAAAATCAATTTTGATTGGGTAAAATAGAAAGAAGTCGTTAAGAAAACTTTTTAAACGGCCTTTAAAGAAAGGGAATAGATCCAAACCACGATAATCATCTTTTAATTTTAAAATTACAGGGACAAAAATGTTATTTTTGAAAAATCACAGGGACTAAATTATAAAAACTTTGAGAAATTTGATCTACATCCTAAAACAAAAAATCCCGTGTTTTGATTTGATTATTCTTTCTTTTGTTCCTAACTCTATAATTGAAATAGAGCAGCAACTATTACCTATTTTGTCATCACTAATTTTCATTTAATCCAACAACGACATCTTTAGACTTGTTAAACGCACACCGCTCATTCATCATCGTAACTTCAATTCATTATTAACATATTCGGAAAAAAGCAGTGGCTTAACAAGAAAACAAAAGAGGACATGGATGTTTTACTATTCTACATATTTTATGTCTTTCAAACTTCTAGATAACATGTTTATTTTAAGATGGTTGGAGGTGACATTAATGATGACGATGCACTTTGTTAACCACCTTAAAAATGTACTTGAAAAATATCTTCTCTTACATAATTTAAAGTTACCAAACTCTTTTTGAAAAGCATTTACCAAGTCAATCACAAAGGTTGTGGCGTCGTGGTTGAGGTCTTGGGTGATGTGGTGGAATATCTCATATGCTTAAGCTTCGATTCTAGGCATATACAACAATTGTGGTCACAAAGTTTATCAGGGCTAATATTTTTTCAGTCACAATTTGTCAGGACTGGTACAAAAGCATTATGTTTTATTTTACTTATTATTAATAAAAATAAATAAATAGTATCAATTGGTTTAGATTTAGAAAAAGAAAAGAATTGAGAGCCCAAACTGCAATTTAATGGGCTGAATTACAACTAAACCCAGTTGGCCCATTAAGGGCCCAAATTGTATTCAACACTTTTCATTTCAACCAAGTTTCAGAGCAAATGTATCTTCGACTTGCGTCGTTGCTGCTATCGTGCCCTCTTTTCTTCATCGTTTTCGATCAAGCGAACAGGTAATTATCTACTTCAAGTTTACGCTGATCGATTTTATCCATCGATTTGGTGTTGCTTTCGAGTATCATGTTTTTGGCATGGTGTTATTTTTGTGTCACTTGCTGAAATCTATTTGTTTTATGATCTGTAAAAAGTACTCAATTGATCGATTTATGAACATTGTAGATTGAAATTCATGTTTCCGATTCGTGTTTATGGAGCTGTTCTGTTTGATTCCAGTTTTGAAAATTAGGCGGTTCTTTGTGGAACTGATTGTGAAACCTAGGTTTTGTGTTCGATTCAATATCTGTTCGTCTTTGTTGTTAGAGTTTCGATTTAAAGAAATCGTGCTCTGTTTTTGGTTGGATTAATCATTACATAAAACCTCATTTGTGTTGGTTTGTCCTAAGGCTTCATAATATCGTCCATATTGCTGAAATACACTGTTTGTTGTTTGAGTTAGTTCATGACTTCTATCTTCGGTTAAATTAATTGATTGATTCATGATTAGTTTGTCCTCACATTCTTATTTCATGCTCCTTCCTGGAGATTTAGGGTCTGATTCACTATTTTACTGTTCAATAAATGTGTTTCGTTTTGACTTGATCTTGTGAGATAGCTACGATGTTAAGGTCGATTTATGTCTTTTGTGTTAATGGGGTTTCAATAAATCAATGCTTGTTAGTGTATGTTTTTGTGCAATCTTTGTTAAATCAATCACTTTGTAGTAAATCACAGAATCATGGTCGCATGCTGATAGATTTGTGAGCTTTTGCCTTCTTAAAGCTGGTTCTGTTACAATCGTATGTTAACCTGTGACTTTCTACCCACTTTCCTTCTATTGTTGCCTTGTTACATTTTCACTTTAAAATATCTCATAATGTGCCCAGTGCCTGCGTTTTGATTTGGACTTATCATCGATTAAAAGATTAATTTTGCATTTTCTTTCATATTGTCTCACATATCAGTTGCTGGAACCTAGTGTTTTGCATTTGTGTTAATTCATAACATGTAAGCTTTTAATGCCGAATTCAGAGGGATTCATGATTGTTTTGGAAGTTTTGGTGTTTGATTCTTAATTGTACAGTTTGATGAAAGCAATTTATTTTGATTCATCTTGTGTTGCGAAACCTAGGGTCTTATCTCTAGTTTGGTTTCTCTCTCTGTGTAATTAGCATTTTCAACTTTCAACAAAGTCATCCTGTTGAGTGTGGATTGTGGTCCTAGCTTATGAAATGTATACTTTTAGGTTGAATTAGCTGTAAAAGGTTGTCTAATTTATGTTCATCGACATGTTTTTTGCTGGAATTATGTTTCATGAGTTTATGCCCTTTTGGAGGAGCTTTCTTTGAATTTATGTTTGTACTAATGTCTTATTTCATGTTGGATTGATGTGTTAAACCTATGAATAGATGTTATCTATGAACTTTGGGTGCTATCTCTGATGCTATTTTGATGAAATAATGCTAAATAGATTTCTGATGCATAGAATCTTAAGATGGGTCCGTTCATTTTTGTCTGTTTGTACTCAGGAGCCTATAAATATGTCATTCATAATGGAGTTTGCTGAGAATTTAATCTTGAGGATGATGGAGGATCCAGTTGAAAGAGATCGCAAATTCAGAGAGCATACTTATCATATGAAGGAACGTTGTGCGAAGACTAAGGAGATGTGGAGCTATCCAATTCGTCCTTATGGTTTCTGGACATTTGACCGTCACAATGCTCAGATCTTCTGGGATGCTCAGATTAGCCAGGTTGAAGGTCGCAGGGACCCTTATGATGATCTTCTTCAAGACCACCAAGCTGAGTCATCCACTTCCTCCAAGTAAATTGTGAGTTTCTTTCCCAAATGCCATGTGATTAAACTGTAAGTTGTAAATATATGTGTTTCGTGCTATACCCAAGCTTTGATAATTTGTTGCTTTCCTTAGAAAATGTTAACAAAAAATTTCTCTTGACCTTGAAGTTTTTGTCCTCATGCACAATTCTTTTTACCTCTGTGATTGGTAAGCTGCATGGTATTTGATTACTGTCATAGTGTAGAACATGAATGGAAAATAGAATGATTGTAGCAGGTGGCCTGTTCAAGTGTATCATAAACTGTGAAAGAGTAGATGGACGATGTGGTTAAGACTTGAGTGCATAGATGAAAAGGCCAAGTTTTTTTTTTTTTTTTTGAAGAGGTTGCCTCTTTGGTTTACTGTAGTTATCAATAGTCGAACATTGAGCCTTTTTAAAATTGGCATAAGATTCCGTAACTATTATATGGAGAAATTGATATTCCATAGCTATAAGTTATGGGGAAATAGGAAATTTGGAAGGAGTCGAGGGGTGGTCATAGGTGAATGAAAAAGAGAACATATTAGGAGTACACTGTTATGAACCCAAATCAAGGATCAAACAAACATTAAAATCAACAGGTACTTATCAAAGGATTGCTGGGATTCAACGGTAAACAAGAGCTTTCTGGCTATTCGAGAGGCCAGAGCTGTCTCCTAAGAAACAAATTGATAATTTTCTGGATACTCTTTACTCTACTCCCCCCTCTCAACCCTATTTATAATACCAATTTATTTAGAATTACCCAATTACCCCTTCTATCCCCCTTCTAGAATATAGAGCATCAGATTGGGCTTGGGCATGTTGATCGATGCATGCCATACCCGAGGTGGACCATGTCTTCTAATTGAGGTACCATTAATTGATATTTAATGTATTTTATATCTTACTCCCTTTGCTCCCATAGAAGAGCAATACTTCCCATGGTGCTATGTTCCATGTTCGTTGCAACATCACTTTTTTGCAAATTTGAGATTGCATATATTTCCATTGCTAATTGTGGTTCATTCTCATTTCCCCTGTATTGTCATGGTTATGAGAGATTTACAAAAGGGTTATAGTGAACTGGATGGTAAATTTGGCATCCATATCTTCCCATGTTACAAGATCATGGTTAAATATAGGAAATTTTGAAATCCTGTTACTTTGTGGAGAAAAAAAAAGTTATTTGTTTTACTAAATTTTACGAAGGCAAACCTGGTTACTTTTTGTGTAAATTTTATCCAATAAAATTTTGTTGACTATAATTCTGACTCCTTGAAATGGTTATAACAGGGATGATGATTGTAGCTGGAGCCACATTGATTGCAGGGAGATAATAGAGTGTGAAATCTTGAATGCTAATTAAGGTGGTTTCTTGTGGCATTTTGATTTTGAATCAACACTTATCTTGAATCCTCCCATCTTTGTTGTTTTTCATTTGTATCAAGTCCATTGCCATCTCAACCAACCTCAGTAGATGTAATGTCGTTGTGTGTCGTGTTGAATAATAAGATTAAAAAAAGACTTTGTATCTCTTGGTGCTTATAGCTGTTATTCGGTCCTTAGACCGGGCCATTTTGGTCTCTCGTTTAACAGAGAAATCCAAGTTTGATCGAGCTAGTTGACTAGTTGTAACCGAGCTGGTTTGGTACACATTACTTGCTTGAACAAAGTTGAGGTATGAACCAGTGACTTCTGCAAATTGGTGCCATGTCCGAAATCTGTGAAAAACTATGTTAAGAGTAGAGATTTTGGGATATTTTTGTTTCGAACATTTATGTTAAAACGTAAGCTAAAATAAAGAATAGAAGCTCGATAAGAGATTAAAACTCTATATAGGAGAGGAGAGAGAAAAAGTATTTTAACTATTTTCCAACAATAAAAGACATTCCAAATAAGTTTGTAAGTATTTTAATGATACAATCTGCAATAATTGATGTTGAAATTGGATGTTATTTTTTTAAATAGAAAAATTATGTAATAGCTACGTATATATACACATCACCAAAAAGCCATCGATCTCCAACAACATATTGCAATGAATTGGTTTGCTGTAGAAATCCTTAATATTGCAATGAATTGGTTTGCTGTAGAAATCCTTAATTGACATATTACATTAGTTGCTTGGTTGTATCTTAAGAAACAATTCTTCATTGGAAGCCATGCTCACCCTTCCTGCCGCTTAAAACACTTACAATGCCAATGGTAGACTTTTTCATCCAAGTTTTTTTTCAAGGTAATAAATAAGACTCTCAAACACAAACAAAAAGGTAAATTTTGTTCTCAACTTCTTAATTAACAAAAACTATACTTGGTATAAGAGTGTCTTTCATAAAAATATTTTATAAGCAAAATATATGATTCTTTTAATATGTTATGAGTCTTTGTACAAAATCTTGATTAATATCTTGAGTTATGTGTGATTTGTTATTTTATCAGTTTTTTAATGATTAAAAAACTACGTTAATAGTGAAAAAGATCCACAAAATGGTTCTCATTCATTGTAAGGTTTTTATGAAGGTTATTAAATTATTAAGTTGACAATAATATAACATAGTAAAATAAAAAAGATTATTATACGAACATATGCAACAAATACTTCAAAATAAAAAAAATGAAGATTTTAGACAAATTTTTGGTCTAACAAAATTTTCAAAATCTTGGAACAAACATGGGAGATAGAGAATTTCTTCAAATTTGGTGAAATCCCAAAAATATTACCACATGTAATAAACTATTTTTTTATTATATTTCCATCAATAAAAAAAACCTTTAAAAATGGATTAACTTTGTTAATCCTTTACTTTTATATTTAGCCTAATCTTTTATTTTTATGCTTCGCTTTTATTCTTCCCATATTTAAGATATAAATTGTGTATAAATTTCGCTGTGTAAAGGAATAAAATAAGTGTTTTTTCGACCTTGATGTTAAATGTTACAAGAGATAATTAAAATTATGTTACATATATAACATATTTTAATAATATAACTAATTTTAATCTCTAAAATATATAGTTAATGTTGAATGTAATTTTTTTTTTAAATTTTAGAATTTGATTTTTTTATCTTAAAAAATATTTGGAGAATTTATTCAAAACACTTTTCAGTCACTCCCTTGAAACTCCAAAAGAAAAAAAACTCCATTTGTTAATGCACTATTTAGATGCAATGTTCACAGAGTTACACACAACTAATTAATTTATTAGACTTTTGATGTTAAACACACACCAAAATGTTTTCCTTCCTCTCAAATACTTAGCAATATATATAGAGAGGATTGAAACTTTATCATAAAATGTTGTGATAGTAAAAAAATCTGAACATTTTTACTGTGAAAGTTACATTCCCAGTGTTTTGTTATGAAATTTCAAGTATAAAAATGTTGTTTCATGTGTCTCACGAAAACAGTATTGTTTTACATGATCCCAAGTCTATATATATATATATATAAAGATGAAACACAGTAATTAAGTAACAAGATAGAATGGAATAGAATAGGACCTTGATTACAATATATATTAGGTTACGTAGAAAGAAAATTCGAAATCACTCGTCTTGAATACTCATATATCATAATAATTAAACCTTAATTCTCTTAGTTACTATTATTGTTGTTCCCCGTTACAGCCCCCGCCAGATCCCCAACAGCTGATAACCCATCCATTGCCATCTTCACCACCTTATATGCAGCCTTCATCTCATCAATTGGAACCAACGGCAGATAATCAAATAACTCATAACCCTGTCCATCCATATATCTCACTAATTTATTATAATATTCCGATAATTTCTCGACCACCGGAAGAATCAGTTCAGCCAACGAGTGGAACAACGGGTACGTGTTGGCTTTATACCAGAATTGAGCGATCACCGGTAACCCCACAACATTAAATGACAAATAAGCGGATTTCAATGTGGCTTTTAAACCCGTGGCTTGAACTTGTTTTACGATGTTTTGGGCGGCTGAGCTAACGACTCCGAGTACGGGATTGTCATCCACCAAGTCTAGTAGAGATTGTGCTACATTGCCCACCACCGGGATACCGCCCACCACGGATTTGGTGGTGTCTAGGGCTTGCTTGGCTAAGTCGGCCGGATTTTGGAGGAGGGATAGGGCTTTGGCGACAAGGGGTAACGATTTGATGGTGTCAAGACCTTTATCGAAGAGAGCTTCGGCTTTGTCGAAAAAGGGTAAGGATTCAATGATGGTGAGGATTTTTTGGAGGAGAGATTTGACGGTTTTGATGACTTCTTTTAGAAGAGAAATCACGGTGGTGATGAGCGGTGTAAGAAGGGATTTTGCTTTGGTAAGGAGTTCCTCGACTAAAGGTATGATTTTGTCGATTAGGGACTGGATATTGTCGATAAGGCTCTTGGCGAGGATGGGAGCGTATTTCTCCAACTGTTGTGACAGAAATACAGGTTAATACCGATACATTAAAGTTAACAAGTGAAGTGATTATAACATAAATAAACAATTAATAAGTGACAAAAATAAAAAATAATAACCGAAATATATATGTCCTTGAAAATAAATTACAATATATAGTAGTCCCTAGGGGTACTCAAAAACCCGATCAATCCGATCAACCCAATGTGAAATAATTCAATCCGAAGCAACTCGATATCTAATCGAGTTGTAAAATTTTCAAACCGTAGGTATTGGATTGATATTGGGTTATTATTATTTGAACTCAACTCAACCCAACCCGATGAACCTGATATCCTTTTATTTCTTAGATTTAATATGATTGTTGAATTTATATTAATATATGCATTAGACAATAACACTATCATGTACGCTCTTCATATATACATTTGCTATATAACTCATTCGTATATATGTTCAATAATTGTAAACATATATACGTAAATTGAGAAAATTAATTGAATACAATATACGTAATAAGTATGGATAAATTGTATCAAATAGTTGATGATGAAAAATAAATTATAAAGAGAGAAATCATATTCAAGGTTAGAAGAATACTTTAATGTATCAAAGTATCAACCCGACCAACCCGACTAACCCGTACAGTTTGGGTTGGGTTGGGTTGTACTTTCGTTTGGGTTGGATTGGATTGGGATAAGATTTTTCAAACCTCAAACATTGGATTGGATTGATCAAATATCTTCAACCCGATCAACCCAACCCATGAATACCCTAGTAGCCCCACAAGATGGCAATAGTTACTTAAGAAGTAGGACATTAGAAACGCATGCATGTTTCATCACACATATAGGAGGTGGTGTACACCACCTAAATTATGTAGTGAAATTAGATTTTTTGCTAATCTACAATCTTAAATGTATAATTTTCTATAATATATATTGGATATTATAGTGTAGTGATGTACCGTGACAATTGTCTCAAATTAATTATTGGATTGCAACAACGTGTCTTTTATAAATTAGAAAGTTATAGATTTAGATGACTTTATATAAACTTCATATTGTAAACTACTAGTAGCTTTAATTATGGTTTAAATTGGCATAAAAATCCTATAACATTTCTTTTCATTTTTTTAAGATGGCTAAAAGGAGTTGGTGAGAATTAGAATGTTGGTAGTGGAAGAAGGGCGGGAATAGAGGTGTGAGATGTGGAAGTAACGGGTACTTGATAAGTAAAAGGGAAGCGAAAGAGACCATTTTATTTATTTACATCAGAAAATACTATACATAAGTACACACTAGCTTATCTGATCTTAGTTTGTTTGTCTATAATTATAACCAACTTAAACCCTTGTGAGTATCATTTTAAAAGCAATTGATCTTTGAATGACTAACATACAAGCCTAATTATATAAATTCTTCAAAACCGACTGAATTGCTATATACGGTTTAAAACCAGTTTGGTTGAATTTTTACGGACTACAAAATTAATTAAAAGAACTTATGTTGTTTATTTACCTCGGAAAATAAAAATTCTATTAGATATACAAATCACAAAAATTGGTTGATATTTTATTATTTTTAATAAGTAAACATGTTTTATAAATACTTATTTTTTTTAGAATATTTGGAGTACACAAATATTGACTAGTTAACTTTTCTCTTATCACTTGAAAACACAACTTATGTTATTTTTTGACTTAATCCAGTAACCATGATTAAAGAGTTAATCAAGTTATTAATGAAAGGATTAGATGTTATGCATATATATCATACGGAAATCTTTGTCACGAGTTTTTGTATCGTCAGATATTAAATTTATGTTATGGAAAATAATTTCATAAGCAAGCAAAATATCAAGTCCTGTGGTGGTACTGGTAATCGAAATTTTTTAGCGTTCAGCTAAATTTCGAAAATATGCTCCGGTAACTGAATCGGAGGGAAGATTCTCCATTTTCCAGGCGGCCGGAGCACCGGTATTGAAGGCTCAAACTATGAAGAAATTAAAATTAGTACAATATAATCTTCCGTCATATAATCCGAATTAATTTTTCATCGGTTTCTCTAATGTTGAAAATCAAAAAATAATTTCACAGATTTGCCTGGTTATTTCTTCCTCTATTCAGAAACGGAAAACAGTTTCTGATTTTATACAATCAAAATAAAGGAAGCGATTGACTAGTTTAATTAATGGTGAAAACGTAGTCCGTAAAGTGTATATACTTGTACCTTGTCATCAACAAACACAATAATCTGTTCAGCCACGTCCTTGAGCTTGTTGAACACCGGCCCCACGGCGGAGACGACGGCGTTTTCCACAGAAACAATCTTCGTTTCAAGGACGCCGACGTTTTCTTTTGCAAAATCATACACATTCGACAGTACGGCCAGAAATTTCAGCGCAATCTCCTTCAAAAACCTTAGGTGTTTCAGTTCCGACGTGCTTTCCTCGATCTCAACCTGCATCACGAAATCCGTATCTTCAACTGATTAAACGTGTGATTTTAAATAGTAATCGTACTTTGAGAAAGAATTAACTGAAATTAGAGCTGCAAGTGATGAATTCACTGACCTCTTTTGAAGACATAGTTCGTCAGAATTGGTGAATGAGGTTGAGGAGATTATGGAAAATCGTAGATCAGAAAAAATGTAAGGAAATAGTTTTTTAAGTGTTGAGATCAATGAAAACGAACTCGCTGAAAAAATATCTTAAATACTGTTATAGCTTTTGTCCTTCACCATTTCCGTACGGTTTTATTTGATTGGTTTTTTATTAAGTCTTGATCAGATAAAATTGTCGTTGTAGACTAATGTATTAGTATTCATTATCATGGTTCTTAAAAAGGTTTTTTTCATAGATAAAGTTGTTAGTGTAGACTAAGGGATTGTTTACCAAACGTTTACCAAGTCACATTATCATACTGGATGAATATGGCGAAGACCAAGAATTTTATCCGGTAAGGGCGAAGGCAAGGACCGAGAGTCTTACCCAGTAAGTGAGGACGATAACTCTTATTACGGTTAGCGCTTACCCGGTAAATTGTTGCATATGATGCCCTATTGGTGGACTAAAATCTTACCCGGTAAGTAAGTGATAGTGTTAGATTTTACCGGTAAACGCTCAACAGGTAAACGACCCCTAAGTCCTGTCCCTCGTCCCCATATAAGTTTACTCAATAACTTACTTTCTATGTCATTAGTTACTAACCAATTAAATTTCATTTATGGCTAATTGAATAAGTTATGAATAGGGACAGAGGAAATTAATTTAGGGGGAGCTCAAAAGCAATATAAGAAAATATATGGGTTTGAGTAGAGATGCACAAAAATTCGATTAACCCAGTTTGGACTAAAAAATGACCAAGATCGGTAAAAAACGAACCAACTAAAGAGGCCTGACAAAAAGATTTGGTTTTGGAGCAAAGCCTGATTTTGTCGATTAATGTGCATTTCTATCTTCAAGGTTGGAAAGACGTTTAAAATACTTGTTTTTTTAATACTTATCCATGCATAATACCCATTAAAAGAGAGTTACAATGTAGGAGGGAGTAAGAACGATATGCATGGAAAAAAAGTTGTTTGTTTATCATTTAATAGTTTCACTAAAATGCAGTCTTTCAATCGTTAATAAATGAATCTTGTTTGGGAAAAATGTTTGGCTCTTAATGGTTTGAAAACCCTCTGAATGATTTCACAACTTTAGCCTCCCTTAGGGATTGTTTGGCAGTTGATGAATGGTTTAGTGCAGAATGATTAAGAGGCTCTTATGATGTAGTGCAAAACGAAATATAATTGTTTGGTAATTGTTCAAAATGAAATTTGAGCACTGGATGGTTAAGAGAGATCCAAAATACAAAAATCATTCAGAGAGTTTTAAAACTATTAAGATACATACTTTTTTTTGCTAAACAAGATTCAACTCTTACCGATTTAGATGTTGCCTCGTAATGGAACTACTAATATAAATCATATGGTAATGAGGATTAAATAATATCAGGGGTTGTTTGTTTACCTCTTAATAGTTCTATTACGAGGCAACCTCTGAATCATTAAGAGGAGAATTCTGTTTGACAAAAAAAAGTATCTCTTAATGGTTTTAAAACTCTTTGAATGATTATATATCATGGACCTTCTTTAACCATTCAGCACCCTAATTCCATAGTGAACAATTACCGAATAATTATATTTCATTTTGCACTATATCATGAGAGCATGTTAATCATTCTAACCATTTAATCATTCTGCACCAAACCATTTAGCAATTGTTAACACCGCCCCTAACATATTGTATATTAGCGCATTGTTTTAAATATACTATGAAATGTTAAAGTTTATTAATTTTTAAACATGTCCTTTTTGGTCTTTTAAATTTTTCAATCAAACATATTTAGTTCATCAGTTACCAGTTAACTTATAAGCCATCAACCAGTTTATCAGCCATTAACTAGCTTATCACTAGTTTGCCAAACCTTTAATCATTTAACATGTTACAAACACCCTTTCTCGGAGACTCATCGTGCTTGACGAGGTTTGCATCACCATCTCAATAGTACAAGAATCAATTCTAATACCATATGTACCAACTTATGCCTAAACCAATCAACTAACTAATTAACAATATTGGATAACTGAAGTTAGGAGGATTATAGAGTGACAAAGGAGCTACTTGGGATCGGAGGAATGCCGAATGCATTGCAGACATGCCTTTGGATATGGTTTCCGCTGACCCGAGTTTTAAAAACATTATCATTAACTTACCCGAATTGTACAGTACTTAAATAACGGTCGGTAATTATTGAAGGATTAAAACCGTCAAATTACTAAACTTATTACCATTAATATATATATATATATATATATATATATATATATATGTCAAAGTAGATATATTTTTTATCATCATTATTATTTATTATCACAAATTAATTAATACTTAAAAAAAGCCAAAACTCATCACGATGAATGAAATATTCGGCTCATAAATGACCCAATTAAGCCGATTAAGAATCCATAGATTTTTTTAAAAGAAAGAAGTAAAAGTATTTTTCAATAGTTTTAATAAATAGAAAAAACAAATATTTTAACAATTTTGTTACTCCAATAATTATGTTATTTTGTATGTTAAAACAGACAAAAGAGAAAAAAAAAAAATTGTAAAATCTCTAAATTTAGAGAGAAATTATTATATTAATACCTTTGACTAATAAAGGTATTAATAAAAAATAAATTATTAAACTTAAATTAAAAATAAAATGTTGANACAAGTAGAATGTGCGTAAGTACAACTTATAAAGATCCATATCTGAATTTATGTAACCAGCTGCAGATAAACATAATCAAATACAAGATAAACATCTCATTTTAAATATAAAAAATCTAAAATATAATTAGAATAATAATTGAGTTCTAACAGAATACTTAATTATTATCTTTATAAAATATTGTATTATTAAACCAAAAATAAATTATTTCGTTATTAAACTTAAATTAAATTATAATAAAAAAATAAATTACATAAAAATGAAACTTTTAAATAGTTGATTTGATATTAACATTGATATATGTTTTTTTAAATTTTTATGATATCTTCAAATTTATATTTTATTCAAAAATAAAATCATTATTGATTTCTTAAAAACACATAAAATCGTATTATAACATCGACAGAGACAAATAATAAAATAGAACATTAAAATCGAGATGTGTCTCACTGTATTGTGCGAGTACTCTTCTAGTATATATATATAATGCAAACCACTCATATTTATACAAATCGTGCAAACCATCTTCATCCATGGCTTCCATTGTTAATCTTATAAAAAAAATCATGAAAAATTGTTTCATATAATACTTTTTTTGATGAAGTTGTTTCATATTATAGTTATGAAATTGTTTCATATAATATTTATGAAATTTTAATAAAACTGTTTCATGTATTTCTCTAGAATTAATATAATAAAGATGACAATATTCATGATTAACACCCTCCACAATAAAAATGATAATGATTAATCAATATTTCATAATTACAAAAAAATGAACAAAATGAAAAAATTATGATTGGTTGAATGAGGTTTATACGGTTTATATAAATAACGTGATCTGCAAAGTAAGCATCATCTCTCTCTCTCTCTCTCTCTCTCTCTCTCTCTCTCTCTATATATATATATATATATATATGATAGAATTAAATCATTCAACATGAATGTAAAGTAATTTATAAATGATGAATATATGAAATTGTAAATTTTATGTAATTTTTAAGAATAGTTATTAAACCACTTGAATTGTCAAATCAAAACCGAACTTAGAAAAAACAAAAAGAATAGAGATAAATGATATACAAAAATGAAATAAAATTAGCATTTTGTAAGTAAAAGCATATTTTTACATTGTGAGCCCCTTAAACAATGATTGACTATGTACCATATGTGTTGTAGCACCTCATATCTAAAATATTCTACTTATAAAATATCTCCGTATATAGCATTTTTTTTTATTCATGTGAGATAAGTTGTCACAATTCCTAGTCTCCTATCCCACTTATACGAGTTTGCTAACTCACAAATGACAAATTTGATTTACCACCATATCAGATATGTCCACTTTGTCCAGATACTTAGACTCACAGTTTTAAAACGCATCTTATAGATAAAGTATTCAACCGCCTTATAAGACAACATTTTTCTCTTCCCCAACCAATGTTCACCGGTTTTCCCAAACATTTTTTAGTATTTCAATAATTCTAAAGTAAGAAATGATTTTTTTCGTTTTTAAAATCACATAAAATGATTAATAGAAAAAACATGATAAACAATCTTTTAAATCGTAGATTCCAAAAAATGAGAGAAAGCAGGAGCAACACGTTTTTGTTGTTATTTGGGGTTCTCATGAGAAACACATGCTCTCCTACGGAATTATCTATATCTCATTAATTTTATACATTTTATCTCATATATTCAGTTTTTTTTTAATAATTATATGATCATAAATTATGTTTTTGTTGACATAGTTTATTAAAGATTAAGATTTTTATATCTATGGATTACAAATTTTGATTTTGGTCCATATATTTTGAAATTATTTTTATTTTCGTTTTTATAATTTACAATGTATTGTTGTTTCAATCCATGTGGTTTACAATTATTTACCCGTTTTGGTTCCTTGTCCTTAAAGGTAGAAATTAGTTTAAGGACGAAAATAACAATAAATTGTAAACCATAAAGACAAAAAAATCGCAATTTCTAAACCACAAACGCCAAAATCAAAACTATTAACAAACGGCACGAAAGGAAATCTTAATTTACTCTTGCATTAATTATAATTGAGTTGTAATTTTGGAAATCTGAGGGTTTTTTTATTCGTGGAATTCGATGAGATTTTGAATTCAATTATAATTTCAGATTTGGTTTAAAAAAAAAGTTTAGAAATGAAATATTGGGGTTTTAATGTCCAACAAAATCCCATGCATGCTGAATTTAGAAACACCATGAAGATAGTTGGTATTTCATGCCATTAAACATGATTTTTTTATTTTGTGATAATAACTTCAAGTATGTTCAAAACATTCATTTTATAATATTATGTTAATAAAATATAATTTAATTATTTTTATAAATATTTAATAAGATTCCAAAACTTGAATCTTTTATGGTTTGTCGAAAATTCTATTTTCGTCCTTGTTTGTGATCTGAAA